ATTATCATCATAACAGTATTTGATAGATTAATTATATGCGAGAAAATAATGTTTTCGCTCTCCATTTTCTAACTATTATAGAGCAAAAATAATAAGAATAATGAAAAGTAAATAAAATGTAATTGAAAAATAATTTAACAATTTTTGTGAAAATTACTAAGAATTTCTTCAGATCGGAATTTCGAAATGAGTGTACGATTTCGTACAATTTTTCAACTTTCTGTGCGAAAAATCCATATCAATGCTCTTAGCATATAATTATACGGTTTCACATGTGAATTTGCAATTGTTCCCGCGAAGTGAGGTCCGTGATAATAAGTATGTTAATTGCATCCAATTTGAATTTTTTGTATGAACTTTTGTTAATGACATTTTAATAAACAAGGAATGATAGTTAAAAATATTACACAATTCCGTAGAGATTCTTCGTAAAGATTCGAATTATATATCAAAGTTAAGAAAAAGTACAATACTGTAGAGATTTATTACAAAATTATACAATATTCTATATGTATATATAATTATAAATTGTAGATCTATATAAATTATATAATTATATATGAAATATTGTAATGACAAACTCCTTCTTCTAAAAAAATATGAACATTATTCTTTTAATTATTTTTCAATTATTCTTAAAATTCTTCCTATATAAGCAGACAAAAGGTACATAAGAGAAAAAGAATATATCTTAATTATATTTTATTTTTTTGAAAAATTTATAAAAGTGAAAAAGATTACTTCTCTCATAATTGTATATAAATATATTAAAATTTTATATATGATTATATTTTTGATACATAATTATATATAGGTTTTTCCTGGATTTATTACAAATTATCAGAGTTTTTATATTTAGATATTAATATTTTCACCTCTAAATGACGACAGAAATTTTTTCTAAATCTTAATAGAAGAGAGATCTAAAATATTCTGTGTATGTATACAAACACACACACACACATATGTATGCTTACATGTACGTGTATGTATAATATCACTGATTAATGGCATGAAAGATTCTATTTATTAGTAGAATAAAATATCTATATTTAAAAAATCTCTTTTTGTCTATTATCGCAGAATTTGGAAGTTGATTGTTTTATACGGCCTGAGGTAATGTCAGTTTTACATTTACTGATTTATCCTGTAGTCCGTCCAATTATACAAATGTTAGCGCTTACTTTATGTGACTTTGCTCATAGCAGTAAAGTTTAAATGTCCATATTGCTCATTAATTAAATAAAATGCGAAACGTTTATTGTACGTTAATATTAAGCTCCTATATAGATGTAAGAATATTTAAGATGAATATGTGTGTGTATGTCAAGCACCTTGTCAAGCAATTTCGAGTCTTAAAGCGACTTTCAAAACGCATTCAACGAAATGTGTTTTCTGTTAAATTTGTTTTTAAATTTTCATCTCATATTCAATCTCGACATATGTATACATACTATATTTTTGTTTTCGGGAATCTATTTATACGTTCAAGTTTCGTATTAATTTAATATTTATTTATGAATTTATAAATTTTTAATTCTATTACAGTAAAATGTTTTTACAATTTTTTTCTTTTCGCTTTAAACATCTCGAGATAAACTAATTAATGTATTTGGAAAATCTCATTGTGTCCATAATACATTATGTTAATTAAGTTAATTTTAAATTTATATTAAACTAAATGAGAAGTGATGTCTAGCTTTAATTAAATTATTCATTAAACATTTTCGTACAAAATTCTCTGATTATCATACATAATGTTTTGCATCTTCGTCTTGTTCGTGCATATCGTGTATATGTTATTGAATTATATTGATATAATAGAATCTCGTTAATTTTGAAATATATGAGGAATGAATATCTCGAATATACGAATAAAAAATTTTTAGGAAACAAAGATTACGGAAAATCCTATGTTTATGAAAAAATGTGAAAATGTATCGAAATTAATGAAACCAAAGTTAAGGAAATTACTAACGTTGATATTTGTTATATCTAGTTAAGGCTCAGTGTAAATTTTTGCAATTAAAACGTAGCTAAATTTTGGTGAATATGCTTCACGAGCCATATTTATTATGATAAGAAAAATAATTAAAAAATTTTATGTATAAATTTATGGAATTCATTTGTTAGCAATATTATTTTTATTGTTAATAGAAATTATTTTAATGAATTATTGATCAAGTCATTTTCATTTATTACTGTTATATAGCTTCTGTCCAGATTTTAGCTAATTTATTAGCAGAAGACGGAGAAAAGTGAATAAGGTATGAGAAAAAAGAGCGAGGGAAAACAGGAGTGAAAAAGGAGAAGGAAGTGAGAAGAAAGAAAAGGAGAATAGAGTGAGAACGCGAATAATGACGCATCGTTACGAATTTAGAAGTTTGCGTGTGTGTGTATGTGTGTGTATTCGACATAAGTATTTCGCTATCCCAATGTCGCAAACGTAGCGCCTTAAAATGATTAGATGATCCCCTTTTGAACACAATTATAATCACAATTATAATCAGAAAATTAAATCCTAAGATATAGTAATAAAGGAAATGCTGGATGTTTCCGCATAAATTTTTTCGCCTATAATGTAGGTAATAATATGGAATAGTGGTTAATGTGTTTACATAGGCTGTCATAGTTATATAGCGTATATGAGTTATTATTATATATTATAAACGAAGCATTATTGTTGTTTCTTTTTGAGTCTCGCTTAGAAAGAGAAGGATTTAATTAGTTTTATCGTCGTCATATGCTTAAATATATAAGCGACATCATCATAATCGATACAAAATAACAAAAAAATGGACGCCGATTTTTAATATTGTATGTGAATTTCTTCTCGTAAGAGCCAATCTCTCTCATAGCATTAAGAGTGAACTCGAAGCGTATCTAGTAATCGTAGTTGACGAAAAAGTAATTTTATCGCGAATATGTATGTGTGTGCACGTGCGAAAAATTGATTTGCATCGAATCGAAATTTTTTCCGCGATCTCAAATAAGAATTGAAATCTACCAAAAGTGAGATGCGACCACTTTGTTGAGAATTGACGAATTCTGTGTAAGAATGTAATAATAATAATTCCATAATTCGTAGAATCTACCTTAGATGCGATTTAGATAATTAGAGTAAATTAACGATTATGGACTTACTTTCCTTCTCGCACTGCATATAATTGTTAGATACATTGTTTTATTACTCTTTATGTTGGTTGTGCTGCGTGGAGGGAAGAAAAGGGAAGCAAATGGAGCAAGAACGAGTTATTATTTGTGGAGAAATCTTTTTTTTTTCTTTCACTTTCCTTTTTTCTGTCAATTATATAACACATAACGAATGTTAAGAACGAATGTTAACAAGTTTTTATTCTTCTGTTTACGTGTATTCGGCAGAAAGAAGCGTCAGCTGCATGCTCTTTTGTATTATTATTAACGAGAGATTGTACTCGAGTGTGATTGTAATAAGATTCGGATTTGTATAAATATCAATGATTTACTGATCGTCTCGAATCCGCCATTGCTTGATTTAATAGCCCGGTTTACTTATTATTAATTTTATGCGTGTATTTTTCTTATTATTATCTTATTATTATTAAATGCACTATTTTACACTTCCTTTATCTATCATAATATAACAATCTGTGTGATATGTGCAATACATTGCTTGATATTTCAGCACGAATAGGACTCTCCGAGAAGTCTGATATTACTATTCGTCTGTGTCAACGTTTGCATTCCTTAATATGCAAAGATATCGAAAACAAAACACGCAGTGTCTAGATTTTTAGAGGAACAAAAAAAATTTGATTTCAATCTATCTAAATTACACTAGTTTTTTATACATACATACATGTATGTGTGAAAAATAGAACACTCGAAATTATCACATTGATTAATGTCAATGCTATTATTATAAAGATAAATGGATAAAACTAAAATTGTCTGTAATTTTGTTATCCTCGAATTTCGGGATATCCCCTGTGTATATGTATGTTCTTTCTGTTTAGCATTATATTTAAAATCCTTAAATATTAAATTTTATTCGTTTTGATCGTTTGTTAACTTTCGTCATAAATTAGGCAATATTAAGATTTTTGCTTGAACTCTAATTCTTAATATTTAATTTAAAATCAAGTGCAGCGCTAATAAAAAATTTCCTTTCAAAATCATATCAAATTTATTATCATGTTATTATACATTCATAAAATGTCATTTTAAAATTTAATTTAAAAATTCTAATTAAACATTAGCATTATAAAAAAAGAAATTTAGCATTATAAAAACAGAAAATAGCATAGTTAAAATGAGTTTGTCGGTTATTCTGATTGAAAGATAATAAAATTAATTTGGAGATTTTTTCACATTGAACATCTTGTATTGTCTTTCAAAGACTATTATTTTATTGAAAAAAATAATAATCGTTGATTCTATTATTTTTTCCAATTGTATAAGAGTTTCATGCTGAAACATTTTATATACTGACAAGTGCTTTGTTGCAATATGTAATATATAAGTATTGGTGTTTCCTCTTTTTCACAATCAATCAATTAATTAATTTAATTTATTTAATTTTATTATTTTATTGTATAATATATTTTCGTATTTTCAGACTCATCAAAAGCTGTTTATTCTTCCGGTTAATAAATCAAAACATAAATACCTTATTAAATATTTTAATTGAAGAAAAATAGAAGCATTTATGTTCGCATTGGCATGAATGGTACCAATATATGATTATCTTAACTGGAGTTTTAATAGCAGTGATTAACATGGATTTTCATCGAAATATGTAATATATTTTAAACTTTTCAGCAAGTATACATTCCGTTTTATATATCGTAAAAATTCTGAAGTAATTTATTTAATATTAATCTCGTAATAAAAATATCAAATTGATAAAGATAATCAAATTAATGAGACTTGCTTTTATCTTGAAAAAAATTTGCTTTGTTTTTTTTATTTGTTTCGTATTTTTCTATTTATTTTGCTCGACATATGTCATATAAAATTCAAGCCTGAAATTATACCGTGTCTTCATGAATCGGCCTGTATTTATCATAGTATGCTTGTATGCGTGTATTAATGCTTGCATGCGTGCGTGCGTCCATGTATGACCACGACCCACGTTCCAGAGCTAGCGTGATGTTTTCTCAGCGACTCTGGACAGTCTGTCGAGAAGAATCGTGAGAGGATGTGGCCGGCTGTTCCGCTCCTCATACTCTTCGCACTATGCCTTCGCGCTGATGATGAGATCGACACCAACAAGATCGATGTTTCGGCTCCACGCGAAGCGCAACACGTGCACAATGCTACGCTGGGAGAAATCTTTGAGAATGCGGTCCAGGCCTATCTCGAGGAAGACTGGGATGGCTGCGTTGCGAGATTTAACGATGCTCTGCATGGGTACGCCGTTGTTATATCATTGCTGTTTGCGTAATATTTTTTTACAGATATTCAATGTTATATTAATTATCAAAATATTGAATCTTTGTAATTTATATGTGTTTCATTAAAGAATCAGCCCACCATCATTTAAAGTGATTAAATGCTTTTTTATCTGTAATCTTTTTCTGCATATATTCGAAATATTTTCACAAATTTTACATTTATTTTATTTCAAATTAGTCTGTAATACTTATATTTGATAAATACTAGTCAAATATAAATATTACAGACTAATTTGAAATGAATATTCTATAGAATATATGCAAAATATGTGTACACTTATATATATATATATATATATATATATATATATATATATATATATGTACAATAAAGTAAAAAAAATAAAGTGTATGGTTTTCTTTCTGCAAGTTTACTTTTCATTATATATAATTTTCACTTTTCAAAAAGAATTCATGTGAAATTATAACATTGAAAGTACTAATATCTTTTGGATATGATATCTTTTGGATATGTCCAGGTCAAGGTTATTATATAAAGTTGATAATCAAATTATTTACCTATATTGCATTTAAGATATGTTATGTTTAATTTCAAAAAAATAGAACATCTTTAAATAATATATTTCTTTTCCTCAGAAATTAAAAAAAAGTTTATAATTCAAAGTATATGATATTCGAGTCTTTAATTATATATATATATATATATATATATATATATATATATATATATATCAAAATAATAGATGAGATAATCTTTTTGCAATATTTTACTAATTGTAAGTGAGAAATTTGCAGTAGCAAGCATTAGTAATAAAGCTAATAATAAGCTACATTTTTTACATAAAGTATATCTAACGTGATTCGCAATTTAAGTTACAGTGAATAAATCTTAATTGAAATACCGGTTTTATGATTACAATAGATTACGAAAATAGGATGCATTTTATAATTGGAATTTATATGTGCTATTTGAGAGAAAGAGAGAAATTACAGATATTTTATTGTTATGAAATTCAATAAAAAATACACAAGAATGAAAAAAAATATTTCGAAGAGAATCGAAGAGTAATTGAAAAAAAAAAGTTATTTTTTTATTGAGTTGTATTATTTATTAAGAAGATAAAATTAAATAATTATATACACATAAATAAAAAAAACATATATAAATTAATAATTACATTTCTAAATAGAAACTAAAATAAATTCCTTCCAAAGAAAATTTTTCTGACATTGAGTACGAATTTCTTTGATATGCGAAATATCAATATGATATATATGCATGTTTATTTATTACAGAATCCAGATTAATAACAATGTATAATCAAAAATATAATAACAAGTCCATATTTTTTTCCTAAATATGCAACATTTTACAGATATAAAGTATACAAACGTATGGTGACGATTTGTCGACGGAAATGTAAAACCGAGACAGAAGGCGCCTCACCAATCTTTGCAGAGAACATTGAAGATCTGCATTTTTATGAAAAAAAAGTGAGAGAAACGCTCTGTTTAATGAAATGTAATCAAGATTACCGTGAGATCGCAGGTGCGGGGGCGCTTAAACGACTCCCACTCGCTACAGAACAGAAGTTTATGAATCTTACCATTTATGAATATCTTCATATCTGTTATTTTCAAGTAAGAAAATATATAATATATATCTTTTATTACTCTTCCTATTTATAACTTATCAAACATGAGAAATTTAAATTGCCATTTATAAATCTCTAAAAAAGGTATGCTTCTTGATTAACTTAATTTTAATTTTTTTTTTATATTATAATATATATACTATTACAATTTGTATATATTATATTTTTTCGATATTTAACATTCATGTAGTTGTATTGTAAAAGATTTCAGTGTTTATTTTATCATCAAATTAATGATATCATATATTTATGATACATTATATTAGCATTTCAATTTTATTTTTTATTTAATTTGTTTCTTTATTAATTCCACGTTATATATAGAGAGAGAGCTAATAGAATGCGTTGTCTTCATGTTGCATTCATGTTTAAGTATATTTACGCTTCTGGAATATTTCGCAAGCGTCGTGAAAATATTCTTACTCCCCCGAATCCTAATCTGGTAGATTACGTAATTTCGGCATAACAGCTTCTACGCCGACATTCGCTTTGTAAATAATGAGTTAAACGATATTTCAGCTTGACCTGAAAAAATCATCCATATCATCATTTATGAGATAGTGTAGCTATATTTTTGAGAATTTGTGTAATTTATTTATATATAATTCGAAAACTCTGAGAGACTCGATATTTTCGAGTCAAACAAAACTGATATAACTTGATCATTTATCGTCAAAATTAATGTCTCGGAACATTTCATACATTTCCGGTTTAGCAATCATAGAGCTACAACTGCTATCTACTTATCAAGAGACCTTGAGATAATTGAAAATATAGTGAAACTACGAATATATGGCGCTGTTTGATATTTACAAAAAATACGATAATCTCTTCAAATGTTCTTATATATTGTAAAATATATGAGAAATATTTTTAACATACCGTAATCCTGTGAAAATTTATTATCTCAGCACAATTAAGAACAATAAAATATGTATATTTAATCACAAAACAAAATCAAATATATTGTGTAACAAAATTATTAATAATTTTAATAATTAATTATTATATGTATAAATTATTAATTATTAATTAATATTTATTGTGATATAAAGGTAATTATATTCTATTAAATAGAAAGGAAGATATCAAGATGCAGCAAATGCAGCTTTTACTTTTCTCTCCCTATATCCTAACCATAAGATGGTTCTGAAGAATCTTCAATACTATTTAAATCTACCTGGTGTGGTCGCGAAGGAAGTTGTAAATTTAGAGGTGGCTCCCTTTGTGCAAATGTACATTCAAGGAGTTCAGGAATACGAAGCTGAAAATTATGTGGAGGCTATTGCCGAATTTGAGAGCTCTCTCGAATCTTATATGGAATCCGAAGAGAATTGCAGGAGCTATTGCGAGGGACCCTTGGATCAAGGATGGTATCCTGAATTTACTTCTTCGATAGCAAGTAAGATACAAATTAATTTATTCAATAGTAAATAATAAAACAAATAAATATAAATTCAAATATTTACATATATATAATTATATAGATGATCTTTATATTTAATTTTGTTTTAAATTATTGATTTATATTTAATTTATTTTTAAATTTATTGATTTAAAGCTGTTGGTTTAAAGAAATTCGTACTTAATATATATGTAACAGATCTATATAAATATATGTCAGTAAATTTTTAATGAAAATGATTAATTGTCAAAAAATATTTTGTTTATTATTACTTATTAATCATTTTTTTAGATCATTTTACATTTTGTCTAAAGTGCAAACGTGGATGTTCACTTTCGCTGCACAACGTGAACGGCAATTTTAAGGCTGATCTACTCAGAAGCCATTATAATTACTTACAGTTTGCTTATTACAAATGTGAGTAGTACAATCTGAAATTATTCAATCTTAAATTGTTAATTCAGAAATTAATTGTTTGAAATTAATTGTTTGATTAGAGACAAATATAATTAGCAACAATTTTTCCTGATCTTATTTTTTTTAAGATATTAAAGTTACGGCAAAATACTCATGAAAAACATTTTTTATCTTCTAAACGTTATTTGAAATAAATTAAATAATTTTTAAATAATCTCCAAAATTTTAATCAAATAAAAAAATAAATAAATATTAATATTCCTCTTTTTCTTTTTTAAGTTTTGCAACTTTTAAAATATTTTTGTAGGAAATTGAAATTATGCTTGTATATAAAAATTTTACATATACATACATATACATATATATTATTATATAACTAAATTATTAAATAAATATATAAATATGTATATATATATATATTTATTTATTTATTTATTTATTTATTTATTTAGTTTGAAAACGAGAATAAATATTGCGATAAACTTGAAAATTAATAAAAAGGAGAATATACGAAATATAAAATAATTTTTATTTATTTTATGTGTAGTGGGTAATTTGAAAGCAGCTTGTGCAGCAGTTGCAAGTTACTTATTATTTTTACCCGCCGATGAGACAATGCTTCACAATAAAAATTATTACAGCAGCCAGCCGAAAGTGAAAGAAGAATACTTTACGCCAAGAGAAGTATGTAAAAGAAATAAGAAGAGAATTTCTTAGAAATTAAAATTTTCTAAATAAATAATACAGATTTAATGTTAGAAAAATATCATTGAAAATACCCAGATTTTCACATATATTCAGAAGATTTATGTATGTATTTATCTGCATACAGAATCTTTTTTTAAAAGAAAATTGTATAAAATTACAAAACTAATACTCAATACTTTAAATAAATGAAAATGCGTTAATAAATTAGGATTAAATAAGATTCTATGCGGATCACTTTCAGGAGGCGCTTTTCTATGTGAAACGACAAGAATACGAATTGTTATTGTTGAATTATATATCAGAAGAATTCACGGTGATAGAGGATAAATTCAATAAGTTCATCAAGAAGACTAACGCAAAAAAGGCTAAACAAAAAAATGAAGAGGATTTAGGAAAGGTAAAAGATGAAACATAAGTTCGCACAAAATGACTAATAAACCACTTACAAATAATTTTCCAAAACCATCCTTTCTCGTCGATTGATCCATATAGATTAATAAACGATTGATAAAGATCTTTATTGTATGCTGCCATTTTAATTTCTGTTTAAAGGATGACGCGCGCTTAAATCTGACCATTGGATATCGTTCTTAAATCGATCAATTAAAAATATGATTAGTGGTGTGCATTGCCATATTAGTTTTAATACTAGAAAATTTTAATTTTTCTATGTATTTTCTATCCAATATATTTGTATCCAAACAATTTGTATGCACAATAAAATACTAAAAAATATATATGAACTTTTATGTTAAAAATATACTACAACTATATAATATTAACAAAATTGAAATTAAAGTAATATTACAAACAAAATAAATAAATGTATGTATGTATATATATATATATATATATATATATACATATAAGATATTAAGATTACGATAACATTGCATATGATGCATTCTTATCAATCTCCCGTGTCATCGCCTGCTTAAGTGCAACCCTATTTACTTCTTCGCTGATAATGATATATAAACGCAGGCATGAGCGAAATTTTGCAGATGAAAAAATGACAAAGTAAAAAAATGAAAAAGATATATCTAATTTTTGTCTTTATAAAAATGATTTCAATCTCTCATTCTTTATACATCTTATCCCTTTTTTTAGTATTCTTCCTTGATTTTGCATCCACCTCCGGGCCATTCACCATCCACGAGAACACAATTTGTTGGTAATCTATCAATATTCCGGGATGAGGAGGAAACAGAAATACAAAAAAGTCACATCAGAAAACGATTAGAAGTCACTGACGATGTACGAATAATAGCAGGAGAAAAAGAACTCGGCGGAAAAAATCGTTATGCAGCTGACGGTCTTCTCAATTACATTGAATGCAATTTGCTTATGCAACTAACTCAAGTATGTGAAATTTTAAGAGTTCTCATAATTTTCCGCTGCATCATATTAAATTGTAGTCACATTATTTTTAATTTTTGTTTTTAATTTTTTTATATTGAATACAAATCTATTTTTAATTCTCTTTTACAAATTCGAAATTAAAGAGTATAAATAATGTTTTACTATTTTATCTATTTAGATCGCTATGGAAGGTGATGGCTATGAAGGAAACAAGAGTCCGCACTCGTCTTACGAGCGTTTTGAAGGTGTAACTGTTGGCAGAATGGCATTGGTAAGAATTATCTACATCGAGCTTGTTCGAAAATATCAAGAAATTATGTCTTTTTTATATTTCTTTTATCTGTCAATAACCTATGCCAAAATGTAAGAAAACTTAAAGGAAACGAAAAAATTAGAAAAATAATGATCCAGATGATATACTTCAATCTGATGAAGCCGGAATTACTGGAACTGTTCCTGCAACGCACGGAAGCGGTTCGCGATCATGTGGAAAGGTATTTCAACCTTGACTCACCACTGTATTTCACCTACACCCATTTGGTCTGCCGTACGGCTTTACCCGGTAATTTTCATCTGACGCATCCTGTGTGCTTCCTCGTCACTTTTTGCTGACATGCTCTCATCGTAAGAATTGGTATGGTACATAAACATTAATCGTATCCAAAGATGATTGATCAGATTATCATAAATTATATTCCATCATCGCATGTGAATCTTGCCATTTTTAACTCTATTTTATTTTAAAAATATTTTTGATTAACAAAGCAATCGCCATAATATAAAATGAAAAAAATATATTTGGCTGTTGAATAGTAACAAGCTGTATACATGAAGAAGAATTAGATACTGTTAGCCAAACATTTATTTTATCATACGTATATCATTCCTCGCTTTTAGATTCGCCGACAAATCGGACGGATTTGAGTCATGAAATTCACGCTGATAATTGCGTGATAAAAGACGAAGGCTGTCTTCGGGAGGATCCTTCCTATACGTGGCGAGATTATTCGGCGATTCTATATCTCAATGATGATTTCGACGGCGGCGAATTCTTTTTTGCTGAGGATTGGAAGAGTCGCCGCGTTCAGGGAGTCATTCGACCTCGATGTGGACGTATGGTAGCATTTTCTGCCGGTGGTGAAAATCTTCACGGTGTTCGGGGTGTGCGCACCAATAGAAGATGCGCTGTGGCCTTGTGGTTCACTCAGGATGAAAAATATCTGGAATATGAGAGAGTGGTGGCGGATACTATGTTAACGAGAGTTCGCACCTTGGGTACTGTGCAACACAAGGATATCAAAGTACCTCTTAGGTAAGAATATAGAGTTTATTGTAGAACATTTCCCATATATATAAAAGGATTTTTTAGGACATTAATAATAAGTGTGGAGAAGAAAAAAGGAAAAAAATTAATACATTTAATATTTTTCAATTAAATTAATAATATATTTTGCAATTATGAAACTATTAAATATATTCAAAGATGATATAGCCCAGCAAACACAGAATATTACAGCAATATTGCGGCAATATTATAACATTGTAATGTTGTGGCAATATTACAACATTGCAGCAATGTTGCTGCAATATTCTGTGTTCGCTGGGAGTTAATATTGAATGAAAATATCTAAATATTCATTTTAGTCTTTAAGTTTAAAATATATATATCAAAAGATGATAGACTGCCTTATAAAAATTTTAGGAAAAGAATCCGCAAATAAATAGAGAATTCATGTTTTTGCGTATTCTCTGTATAAATTAATTAACATATAATTTTATTTCTATTCAGATACGAAGACATGCTGATCCAGTGTTTTAAAGAAGATGAAATGTTGAGGCATATATTGAGAGAAGGAAAAGGTAACGAAAACAAGCAGCATAAATAGAAATTTACATAAGATTTGTCCTATGTCAACTAAATTTTTACTTAAAATGAAATAGCTGTTCAAGCTTCGAAACGAAAGAAGAGATAAAAAATATGCAATTAAAGTTAACGAGCTTATTAATTCGTGATTTACAAAAGATATATAAATGTGAGAGTGATTTATATACAATTGAATTAAACTATAGCCAAATTAGAACTGTAATAAAGCCTGCTTTAATAAGGAATTTTTAATAAGGCCGATAATGAATTATATACATAGATTATTATTCAATAGACATATCGAACATCTAATTATGTAATCTGATTAACTCATAATCGATTCATTTTTACTTCATAATTCGAAACCGGTTAATTTTAGGTTCTACGAAAATTATTTTATTTATTCTAATGAGTACATAATACATGCAGGCATGCAAAGTTTGTACCATAAATTTTTGAACACCATATGTGTATGTGTGAGCATGTGTGTGTGTGTGTGTGTGTGTGCGCGCGCGCGTGTGCAGATAAGAATATATTTTATTCCAAAATACCTCATTCAACAAATAATATAAAATATATATTCTATTGTAATTTAAGCAAAGTCTGCTATGAAAACATAATGTTTATGTTGTAAAATTCATTTTAACAACTTTGTTGTGTTTAAGTTTCTAGTTCACACATACATATGTATACAATAAAATGCGCACTCTCATTGCATATCTCCTATATATATACATATATATATAGTTAATTTTTGAATTATTTAAAATTGATATAATTTAAACGTGAAAAGACCGCGCAGAGAAAATGTATGTAGACGGTTTACGATTACCGCAATTGTAACAATCATTTATAGAAAATATCCTAAATCTTTATTATAGAGAAAATGGACATATTACATGTCAACGAGTTTACATAACCGCTTGTTATCACGCAACATGTGTGTATCGTATTATTAATACGATTTATATTCGTATAAGAGTTACATATACGCAATTGCGTCGTAATTGTTTGGCGGTATTTTCCTTTCTCCTTTTTTTTTTCTCTGCCTTTTACTACATGATGTCGAATTCTGGCATCACATGACACGGACACTTTATATGTCTCTGTAAAATCAATTCCATGAATTAAGCGTGTATATATGGTGTACTAATCCATTGTAATTATTAACACACACCCTTGCTGGTGTCTACATCGCGATAGCCAATATCCGCGATCTGTTCGCAATCATCGTCGTTGTTATTGTGGGGTAAACACGAAAACACATTCGTGTGAGATTGCCAATAAGATGGAAATAATTTAGATAGCTAATAAGGATAAAAGAAGGAAATTTGTGAAAGAGGAAATAGAAATCAATACTCAGATTCTCCACTTTTAAAAACGTACGATTAGAAAAATCTTCCTCATATGTATAACTTTAAATAAATGGGCGTTTGAATTTTTATTTGAAATAGAATATGAAGAAAAAAGAAATTTGGATTTGAAATTGTGATGGAAATTTTTTATATACTATTCTATATAAACATGCATATCTTTCTTTTTAATAATTTAAATACAGATTCTCAACAATTGTGGAATTCGTTTTTCCTCTGTTCTAGGCATTTCAAATGTTAGACTTTTTTTATTACGAATTATAAACGATAATTGCGATAATAGAGATTATGAAATTGGAGAATAATGAGTTTTGCTTCCATATCTTTCACATCTGAGCTTTCCTTATCGCAGTTGCTGCGATAGTGATAATCGTCATTTCGGGATCAGTCAGGAAGAAAGTGATAACGCGATTATATATATACGATATGTCATAATATACATATATATGTTTCAATACAAATGTTTATTATGAAATTATAGTGACATCTGCGTATCACAGGAGAGCTCAGTCGATTCTTTAGAAACCACTCCATATCGTTGTCCATATTGTTGTCTTATATTCTGTCCATTCAAATTTCGAATATGAAAGGGAGAATTGTAACAATCGCGTGTCACTATAATGTAGAATTATATATATTTTAATTATACTTGCACATATATATAATACTTGAATTCTCTTCAAATTATAGATAATAAATATCTATTATATATACAGAATGTATTAAAATCAAATATTCTAGAGACATATGTTTCTACTGACGAAATGAATCTATATAAACATAGATCGAGAAATGTCTAGTTTGTATAAGAAATTTTATTGTTAATGAAAATGAAATAATAATAAACAATGAAACAATACAAAGAAACGAGATTAAATTAAATAAATATTGAACAATTTATTCCCAAAAATTGCTCCAATTGGCTTTTTTTCTGATGCGGAGAATCGCGGAGACTACATTACATTTGTATATTTTGTTGTTGTTGAAAATTCGTAGTGTTGCATATTTGCTCGCGTTTATTTTCGATACGCTTTTTTAAAACAGAGAATAGACACGATTAGACACGAGAATAGCGTAAATAATCAATTTATATCTCCAGAGAAAAATTGTTTTTGAAGGGATAAAAAATCCTTTTATTGTATAAAGGGATAATTTTTCGATCCATGTTTAGATAAATGTTTTAAAAATATTTTAACAATAGAAACATGTTTTTAGATTATCTGACAATAATTAATTTACATTCTGTATATATCTACATATACATGTTACATGTTTCGAAGTATTTGATAATTAATTTGTCGCAGTGGATTTTACTTCGAATGGAGTGGTCACTCGAGTTTCGTCATATGTTACAGATGTTTTATATTGCTCTTCGTATAGACCTTAATATCGTTTTTTTTTTCTATATGACAATTACAATTAAAAAGCAATCTCGAAAGTAACGCTTTCGCGTCAGTTTATGAAAAATAGGCGCTTGGAGAGAAAGATGTAAAGAATATCGCAGAAACGCTAACAATCATAATGAACGCTAATAATAATAATCTCTTACCGATCGCAACATTTCTTTAAAAACAGTAATAAACGATACGTCACGTCTAGTAAGCAATTATTATAATAAACAAATGTAATTAGCGTACATTTTAGTGCCCGTTGACTCTCAACTAGAACTTCTCCAACTTTCGAGATTTTATCTAATAAACCTTCTCTAACGATTATCAATAAGATATAATAGTTTCAAGCATAGAATTAAACTCTCTTAGACCCGGACAGCGAATATCATACCCGCTTGCATAATTCGAGTCAGACTTCTTCTTACAAGAGTTACATAATTTCATAATCTTATATGTACATGCGCGCACCTAAAAAATTACTTACTTGAATATAATAAAATACTCGCAAAGAAAGATTACGAATGGTACGCGAAGAATAATTATGTTATTTTATGAAAAACATTTCACATAAAAGATAACTTAAAAGATTACATAAAAGATTGACATTTAACTTAAATGCCTATTAAATGGATCCATTTCTGAGAAAATTTTATTATAAATAAAAAATTAATAATCTTCAATAATAAATAATCTCTTTAAATTTTTTGGTATGTAATTTCCAAATATTAAAGCTTTCCAACTAAATAATTAATACATTGCAGCATATATAATTTTTTAATATTATTCTGAGGCTCTGCAAAAATAAAAATAATTATGATTTGACTAAGATTCTTTATATTAAATTATGGCGTTTTTAATTTAAAAATTAACAAAATATCATCATAATAATTAATTTAAGTTTAGACCAGCATTTATTTGCGTATTAATTGTGATAATATGTATCCGGATTAAATTATTATCAAATTAGTCACATTTTCGAAAATGTGATTTGATAAAATTGTAAAATATTTTGTATAAAATGAAATTTATTGAATCAATTGCTGAAATTCTATTAGGTCAAAATACTTGAAAATTAATCGTTATTTAATTTTCAAATAATCAATTTTAATGACAATAAAAAATATTGATACAAATAATTGCTCGTCTAATATTTTTAAAATACTAACTTATATTATGAATCAAAGTTTTGTATAAAATATCTCAATATCAGTAGTGTTTTGTAATCTTATGGTTGATTACAAATTAACCAGTATGTGTACAATAATAGTGGCATGTGAAAACGAGTGTCACCTAACAGAAATATGTTTTTACTGGCGAAAATGGAACGCGCCGCATCCTAATAAGTAGGAAACTTTCAGCGTTTTACGTATAATATTAAGAATCTCAGTTTAAAACATTTAGACAAACAACTCTTTTCAGCGTTCGCCATTAGCTATACCTAAATCTAGAGTCCTGTTATCAACATCGAAATTGTGTTTTAACTTTAAAATGTTCAAAAATACAGGACTGTATTTGATTCGCCTCGCATCGAACGTGCGCTAACGTTTAAAAAAGTATCGTTGATTTGAAACTTTTTTTCTTTTTCTCTCTTTCTCTCACACACATACACACTTTCGCTCTCTCATTATCTTATTCGGTAAGACAGTTTTATTCGCGTTTTATCGCACAACTTACTGTTTAATATTCTTATCTCTGTATACGAAAATAAAGTAAAAACTGGCTGGTATGTAGGGTCTCCTCGCTGAAAAGCTCACAATAATACGTTCTTTCTGTTTGAAATATAAATGTTATGCAAATACGTACTTAATCGACGTTTATATGTCGTTTATACTTTTTCTTCCGTATGATCATTTAATGTAATGCTAATATATTATCTATATTAGAATAACGCAAAAATGTATAAACAATAGAATAAAGAATGTTGTACTATATCTTGGTAGAAGATCGAGATAAAAAAAAATGTTACAATACATTTTGATTATGTAGAGAGAATCAAATGGCGGAAGTCATCGTGTTAAGAAGTATGTTGGGTACCAAAAAATGTTTCCATAAAAATCTTTTTAAGGGATTAAAATTATCATATTACATATATGTGCAAATTTTGGTTAAAATAGTATAATGCATCCTTATATGGAATATAGAAATAAAATTAAAAAATACACACATTATAAAACACACAATGCACATTTGTTGAGTGATTATAAGTCAGATCTTTATAATACTTGTTTGTTCTAGTTGCAAAATCATATCAAAATTCATAGTTAATCGGAATGCATTTAGTGTCAAACGATATATCATTTTTAAATTTTGTTAGTTAACTTATTTTGTTATAAGCTATACAGTTACTACTAAAATATGGTATGGCTTAACACAAATAAAACGAATAATTAAGCAGCATTAAAAAGAACCTCGATCACATTTATATTTCATCGAAAGCGACATAGTACTTCGGTCAATCTTGCTCTAGAACACTTTCTTGCAATAAGCCGTATTAATCTACGAGTTTAAAAAAAAAAAGAAGTCTCGTTTGATATTCAATCGATGCATACTTGGTATCCAACAGACTCCCCTACACGTATTCAGGCTATGTATGATCGATAGTCGTGATATGGGCAGTGAATGATTAAGCAAGTACCAATATTAAATAGGCTGGCTCTCCCATTGAGGCGCCCATTCCGGAAGTCGTCAATCCACATTGGATGGCGGCGCGGCGTATCTAGAACGCGAATCCGAATCCCCATCGCATATGTACTTTCCTGAAACAATATATCACGAATAGAAATCAAGACTTTCACAATTATATTCAATTTTTTTAAATGAAAAAAAAAAAAAAAAACAAAAAAAAACAAAAACAAAAAAACAAAACTAAAAACAAAAATAAAGAAAACATGTAAAAAAAGGGCATGCAGAGAAATATATATAAAATATTTTTGAAAACCTCAATTTCTTAAACAATTATTTTAAATAATTATTTAAAAAAATTTTTAATAATTTACATATCTCAAATATATAATGTATAATATTAATAAAATAATATTAATAAAATAACGCTACAACTATAATCACAATATTATTTTTGTTTTTAAGTAACAAAAAATATTCTTTTTATATTGTTATGGCATAATTATGTATTATCGAACAATGCTTAACAGTCTACTTATCGTACCAGACACGAATTTTCGCTTCACCAAGCTTAATCTATATCCGGAACCTATGAGTTCAAATTCAACGCCCGACAGTGTGGTCCCTTCGCAATTGAACTGGGTGAATATGGTGCCCTGACTGCCCGGACCACGTTCCAGCTCGATCCGCGCCTTCAGGGACCCGACTCCGTTACCTTCGCTATGTTGCGAAAGTTCTGTGAATTTCCACAATACGCGATTTGTATCGGGTATCCATTGCGCCGGTGGTTTACTATTGAGTGATTTGAAGCCGCCATCGATGGGCGCTGCTACATGAAGATTTAGTAAAGGACTTGGTGAGGCCATAGCGCGACTATTGTATTTGTAGTCGATCTAGAATCAGAAACAATTTCGTTCGCAAAGTAATATAGAGAGCAAAATATTTACATTCCTTTTCAATACTTAATAAAGATAGCTAAACTATCAATCAAATGTACCTTGAGATCGGTATGGGTTGTTTCGCATTTCCAATACGCGACCAACTGAAAGGGGCAAGAACCGGCGCCGTCCTTGCACTTGATCTGGTATTTGAGGATGTCTACGTTGAAATACGAGGCTGAGGGATTCTGTTCGGCTTGTCGCCGTAGCAACGTAGTTAAGGCACTCATGTTGAATTCGAAGATCGTACTGTCAACGGTAGTTTGTGTCGCATCCCTGCAACAAGCAGAACCTCCCCTTTCATCAGCCGCTTCTTTAACGATTAGCGCGAATTAGCCGTACGTTAACTTACATGCTAATAAGCTGACTGTTTGGCAATAGCCTCTCCAGTCTGTTGGTATTTCTCACGCGAAAGGTAAGTTTAGCGGGATTAGGATTGTTCGCCAGGACCGCGACAATGCCGGCTGGGAACGAGAGCATCATGTCGCCGCTAAGCTTCACCTGGCAACGGGTTTCATCCGTACCGCGAAAGTAGGAATGCACTATCTCGTGGAACGCTACCGCCAATGGAATAGTGTCGGCCAGACCGATCGTGAGCGGAGATGGTCCCCGCGAAGAGCCGACGCCTACGCCGGCTGTGCGAAATTCCAGGCTGGCAACGCTATCAGCGCGAGATATCGTCGCAGGTGACATTCTGCCACGCGACGAAGGGCCTTCTCCTCTGCGTGACGGAGGTCTAGGTATGACGATTGACCCGGTCGGTGTCGAGGATGCGGATTGTTTGGGCGGCAATGCTGGCGTTATGTCTCCGACTTCCGAAAATAAATCTCCGTCTAAAGACAACATGATGATATGTTGCTTGCTTCGACTTGTCTTTCTCTTTTTCTTAGTTTCATTTCGTAGGATGAATATTAACAGAGTTTACCTGGGAATCGGGTGTGGGAGTGTATCGGAGGCGCGGATTGTGGCGGCTGCGACAGGGTCGGTGACGTGGAGATCGGCGGAGGACTCTGTAGTGGGGCGTAAGGATGGCTGCCGGTCGGTGTTGATGCGCTCGACGGTGTACTGCTAGGATTGAACAAGTTTAGGCCAAGTAAATCTGAGCTTGGCTTACCTCCTAATTGCTGTGACACTGACTGAGACCTTTTCATGTGATGATCGGAATCGGTATTCGATCCTCTACGTCCCTGTTCGAATACAATGTATCGTCAGACATACAAAGAATGTTTTCTATATATTCTGTATGTATTATTTACTTAATAATCAAGATATTTATTTTACATATTGTATGTATAGTGTTTTGAAAAAAGACACAATTGAAGAAGAATCAATTTCTAATGATAAAAAAACTGATCGATTAAATTATAATCTCGATAATTTCTTCTTATATAAAATTTTGTTTTCAATTACTACAAATTAATTTTTAAAATTGAAAAACTAATAGTACTAATATATAATAAATAGCAAAAAATACTTATTTTATATATTTTTATTTCTTAGTTTTTCTGATGATTTTTTTGCAATTAATTTTGGAATAAATATGTATCCTACATGTATTATATATTATATACATATGTATGATACCCCATATTATTAATATATATATATATATATATATATATATATATATATATATATGATGCCATATTACTTAATAATAAAATCAAAATATTTATAATTATATATTAGTTTTCTTTATATACTCAATTCAATGTTTTTGAATTAATATAGTTTTACATGTTTTACACAGTTTAAACATAAAAACATACAATATCTGATACATTCATCACAAATCATATTTTCAACTTTTTTCAAATTATAAAACAATATCAATCATTTCTATTATGAACTGCAACTAGGATATATTTATTCTTTATTTATTATTTATTTTTAAATTCTTGAGACCATTTGATGATGATTTTTCTCAGCAAAAATATTGAGGCATCAATAGTAAATGGTTTCAAGAATCTATCACTAAGGGAAGATATGATATGGAATTTTTTTAACATAGGATATCTCACTGTTGGTGCAGGTGATAAGGATAAATTTTCCACTGTCGCCCTCAGTTCATCCACGCTGGCACTCATAGGTGCACCGCCATTGCTGAGAGGCTTTATCTCCACTCGGATCTTACGTTCCCTCTCGTCCTCTGAATCCGTGTCCGAACTAGAATAAAATCCTTTCTCATTTTCCCATGGATCTGGCTTCGGTCTGATGCAGAAACCATCTTCGTCCACCTCCGGAGTTGGTGTTTCCGATTTTCTGCTATCGTCCTTATCCTCCCTACGACGTTCATAACAGAGCAATTAGAATAACACACTTTCATAAGTTCCAGCAGGCCCAGTGCATTACATAATAAATTTTCTCGTGCTATAAAAGCGTGCTAAAATAATAAAATTATTGCACTTAAGAATGATACACGAAATAATTGACTCGAATCAAATATTCAATTTAATTGATAGAGAAAAATGTCATATGCACTTAGATCTACGAATGCTATCTTTGCGAGTTGTAAACTGTTTTTAACATTTTTATTATATATAAATAGAGATATGGTATATCTCTATTTATATGATATTATAGAGATATGGTATATATAAATAGAGAGATGGTTATTAATGAAAGTTTAATGTGCCTTGTGCACAATATTGTTAATCTAATAATAACTGATAATAATTGTTTCATTCAAAATTTTGTTTAAAAATTCAAGATAGAACATAAAAATAAAAAGTCCAATCAAAAGATCACTGCTAATATAATAATTACTATAATGTAAATGTAAAATCATAATTTAAAAGGCTATCATGTATTTTTCTTTATTTGAGATTTAAAATCAAATATCCTTTATTGTTATATTTAATATTTAATTATATTTATTTATTATTATGTACTGTCATGTCCGAATAATATCAAATAATATTTAATGTATCTAATAGTATACTTTAACATTGAAAAATTTTTCTAATAGTGTATAATTTTTAATGTGATACAAGCAAGAATGCATTCACAGAACTAAGTGAGAATTATAATATTGATACACTGAAAAAAAAACTTGGTTGAAAATGGCAAAATTTGTTTTGCCCAACTAAATATATTGTCCGATACGTTCAAATAAATATAACTAAAATATTCCGAAATAATTTGTTGATGTAAAAAATGCTTATTCAAACATCAAAACAGAGAGTTTAGTACAACGATGTACAGTTACTACAACAGAATATTTTTTTGGCAATATTCAACAAAATTTTTTTTTCAGTGTAAATATGAAAATTATATATAATATTTTAGATAAGCAAAAGAATAGAATATTTCACAATAAAGCATTCCGAGTCTGAGATTCACATCCAACAAAGATATATGTAATTTATATTGAGTAAATATAGAAATATATATTAGAAAGTATTACAGATTGCGCGATATTTTATGCTGGTTGTGAAACTGACTCTATGTGCACTAGGTCTGCTGTGCATGCATATACTGACAGGTCAGACTTTTCTTCTTTGTTGCTGCTTGTTTCTACGAGATCCTTCTTCTTCTTTGCCTTCTTTTCCTTTCGCTTTTCTCTCCTACTGCGGAGAAACCCTGTTGGTCGTGGACACCCCAAATGTAGATAATAGGACGGACTGCAGTATACATACTAGCTACTTATTAAATATATATATTTAATATGAATTACTCTTACAGAGCTACACCAAACTATGAATTCGTCTCTATCTGTGGAACTAATGTATATCAAATTTTTTGGATTTATTACAATTAAACATTTATGTTTATAAATAAATCTTAAAATCTTTTTTTATAATTTCTTTCCACTGCATAAATAGAATTTTATATAAAAAAAAAATATATTTTTTTTATGGTTTGGCATTATTCCAGTAAAAATCAATATTGACAAAAAAAAACATCTTTATAAGATGTTCATAATATTTTTGCTAACACTACATGTTGCAACTGATTATATGTAAACAAATGAGAAAAAAACAAAGCAAAAAAATTAAAATTGCATTACTAATTTTATGACATATAAATATATAGTGTGTAATTCAAATATTAATACAAATAATTGCTGTTACTTGTATACATATGGATTATTATTTTGTTTAAATTTAATTAACATTCTAATTAATACACACTGTATATTTATAATCTAATGAGAGATGAAAATTAATTTACTTTCCAAGTGTTCGAAACATAGCGCCACATGATCAAATAGCATCTAATGCAAAACAATCGACATATGTATCAATAACTATAGCATATGCATTTTTAGCTAAATAACTAACTTGGACATCCTCTAACAATGCTGACATAAGTTTTGTTATAAATATCAATTTGTCGTATACATATTGGAATAAATATAAATTTAATTTTGATTTAAAAAAATGCCTATTAAAAATGCCTATACAAAATTAAAATTCATGTCATTTATAAAATAAGATTTATATTACACACTTATAAAAAAATATTTTTAAATTTCATTTTTCAAGAAAACGCATATCAGCATTTTAACGACAACTAACATAAATCAATATCTACATCAAACGAGAGATGTAGATAAGAGTGAAGTATACAGAAAATATAAAATCCAGTAGAATAGAACACGTCACGTTAGTAGAAATATGAAGATACCCCACGCACCACCACCATCAAAAGTCCTACTGGTATCTGCATCTCACCTATTCTCTTCTTAAATTGTTTTTCTAACAATTACCAAACCTATATTAACATTGTAAAATCGCGGTTTGCTTTGCACGTTCTTCTTCGCGCGTCTCTTTGAGAGATAATATACACAGAGAGATATATCTTTCTGCAAGCAAATATAACAGTACTATGCATGCATAATCTCAAACATTAAACGAATAAACGTTTAAAAGAATAATCGAGAAAGAAAGAGAAAGAGAAAGAGTGAGAGTGAGAGTGAGAGTGAGAGTGAGGGGAGAGAGAGAGAGAGAGAGAGAGAGAGAGAGAAAGAGAGAGAGAAATAGGGATATACAGGGTGTCTCATTTTAATGTCCCATCCCAAATAACTTTCTTATTTTTAATTTTAGAAAAAGATGTTTCAGACAAAAGTTGTATGGTTTCAAAGGGGACATAAGGTGGTGTCATTAGTTTGACTTTGAAGAGTCACATGAAGGTTACGTGAAGGTCATTTTGAATTTCTTAAATGGAATACTCTATATATTTTGCATTAAGATAATCGAAAAATGAATATTTTACAAGATATTTTATGGTTTATATAAAATTAAGAAATGATTTCAAGCCTCATAACTCGAAAAGTACTTGATGAAAAAATGTTGATTTATAGTGTTTTGGAAAGCTCTCGAGATAAGCTACAAGAATATGCAAAAATATATAGGGTGTTCCATTTAAGAAATTCAAAATGACCTTCACGTAACCTTCATGTGACTCTTCAAAGTCAAACTAATGACACCACCTTATGTCCCCTTTGAAACCATACAACTTTTGTCTGAAACATCTTTTTCTAAAATTAAAAATAAGAAAGTTATTTGGGATGGGACATTAAAATGGGACATATACACCCTGTATATGTATAAATATTTGTAAAGAACTAATCTATCTATTGAGAGATCAACATGAACGCTACGAAAATGATTGTCATCGATACAAAAATATACTTCGGGATAGTAATTGCTTGCAGAATCACATTTCGCTATCGAAAAGGGAGAGAAGAAATTTCTACACTTGGAAAATAAATACAAGATGTATGTATGTAAACGTGAGCCATGCAAATTACGAATTTTACAAAACGGCTCACCTGAGGCCCCATCAGTAGCCAACCCCACACTTGTAATTCAACATTATTCAAGTCCAACTCCCTTTAGAATTTAGATATATTTATTTATCTTTTATCTCATCGAACTGTCATTATAATGAATTTTAGAAACATATAGAATTTTTTGCTGGGTGATTCATGTAATTGCATAGTTATTCAGGATGTGTCAGTAATAGTATATATTAGCATCTTAGGATCACTCATGACGTGTAAAAATCATATGGATGATTGTATGTCTTTCGATTATACATATTTCGCGCACATTTTAATTTATTTATGATCATGAATCGGAATAAAAAGAATGAAATCATATTAAAAATCTACGATATTTACATAAATAAAATTATATATTTATTTTTAATCTTTCGCGTGGATTATATCTGAAAACTTTTATCATATACATATGATAAGTTTAAAGTTTTTTCGTATGTTTTGTTTTATAATAAGCGGAATGTTAGATATGATTTGACTGCATAAATGTATGAAATTTTATATATTTTCTTATCATTCTTGTATAAAACAATTAATGTAAATTATACATCGTTATAATTGAAGTAGATATTCACAGAGATCATTGAGTATATATTCACAGAGACGATTGTTAGAAAAACAATTTATATGTAAAACTTTATATGAAAATACGAAAATAATTGCTTATTAGATTTCTAATATACTTCTAATGCTAGAGATATGTCTATGTTTTGTGCATAAGCGTCTTTTAATGTTAGTAAAATACGAATAAAAAAATGTTTCTTTTCTTTTAATCTCTAAAAAACTGTCGCAATCTAAAATTAGATTTTTAAATGTGGAAATGAGAGGTAAAGAAATATATTCTACATTGTGCCTTACAGATAAAAAGCAGAAATTAATGTTACGTGAAAATAAATTAATTTGATCGTCTTTAAAGAAAAAAATTTGGATATATAACATTATCTAAAGCAATTAAATAAAAAGAAGAAAGTTAGTATACATACACTGATGTTCTAAAAGAGTGCAGAGTGGAGGAACCATAATACGCGCAACCACTGTAAGTCAGCAAGTATAGTTTACTTAATGGTATTAAGTTTTGTTTTGGTTTAAAATATTAGATATTGAAGAGAAGTAATATGTCACTGTCACCGAACACCGTAAAGAGAGAATAATCGGTAGAGAAGAATTATAGGTAAAGATTTGTATAGATAATGCTCGAATAAGATTGATCATGTCGTTAAGAAAAAAGATATCCTAATATTTATATACAACGTTTATATCTAGAATATATATTTATGATGAGGATTTTTATATACGTTCAGAGAATATAATATAATTGAAACATTAATTAATATATATAAAAAAATGAATTATTAATAATTTGAATATTATAATTTGGATAAAAACGATTGATTAAAAATGTGATAATTATAAAAATAAATCTAAAATTTAATGCAAAGTTATTTCTCACACTTTTTAGACATCTTTAACAAGAGGAACGAAAGAAACATAAATAGAAATGGCACAAAAGCACAAGAATATAGGTATGTCATATATATCAAAAATTGAGTACAGAGTATGTTTATGTTTCAATGTACTCGATAATTAACTTCAGTAATTTCTAAAGCATGTTGTATTCTAACAACAATGAGAGGAAATATGGTAAAGGGGGTATAGGAGTAATCATAATGTAAATTGTTACATTTAGATCCTCTGAGAGGGTTCCTGGAGATGCTGGGAGGTGGAACAGCAGGAGGCAGGTTGTTCCCTTGAGGGGTGGCAGGTGCCGAACCAGACGACCCTGCTTGCCTCTGTTTTTCTGAAACAACACTCATCGTTCTCACATCCTTAAATACTGTCCCGCTAATTGGCTGCCCTTTTTTTCTCTCCATGTTGCACTATTATATATGTTAATTGCACGAATTGGAATTTCAATGATCTTTGCAACGATATAAAAACGTCTCAGAGGGATAAGAAAAGCTTTAAATAATTATATATAATACTACTCGTCTGAGTATATGACTATAGCAATACTCGATACAGAAATATTATTATGCACTTAAATATGTAAGATTTAAAAAAAATGATAATATGTAAAAAATGATGATATGTTTGATAAATTTTTTGCTTGTACATACAATAATTAACTTTTCAGAAACAAATTAACTTTTTGCTTTGTTCGTTCGCTTATTTCCCACGAGTGAAATAATATAAAATGTATGTATCAAACACATATACATATATATGTAAAAATATAATTAGTAATTAAATTGAAATTAATACTAGAAACTCCCTGGAACACAGTGGTGGTTCTATATGCCCTCCTCCACCTAAATGTTAGATCGTTATGTATAAGCAAATATAACACAACAACCACATAAGCATAAACAAATCGATAAAATTATATTGCAATAATAAATATTGGAATTGATATCTGTGATCGAGTGCTGCAATTCAATTGCGCAAGTGTATAATGAGTGGTTTAACGCGATATAATGATAAAAAATTAAAAATGGCAGAACAAAAGCCTATCCAGACATATACAATATTATGTGATATCGCTAAAAAAATCTTACAAATATTTATGTAATATGACAACAGAATTAATTTTGCCAGGGTAATCGAGGATATATCGATATATTTTCATGTAACTATATGAAGATTACGTGAGTGTATCGATAAAACATAAAAAAAGATAAATGGAAAAAAAATTTTGCTTAAGATGTAGCATCTCATTACATCAAGCCAAAGTAGATTAAAACTATACAATTGGAATAACAAAATTTCGAAAAAAATCTACATAATTTTAACAAAAGAGAGAAAGAGAGAAGAGAGAGAGAAACCTACCCTGGGAGTTGGACATGAACAGGTTGAGTAGCGAGGTAGTACGGCGGGAAGCCTTGGTGGCTTGTACATGTGACAGTTCTCTATCCTTTTCCTTCTGTTTTTCTTTTTCTCTATCCTTTTCTAGTACCACCCTCCCGCTTTCCCCGTCCAGTACCCTCAAAGTATCACCCACCCTCTTTAATCCCTGATCTCTCTTTGAACTATGACTGTTACCGGCTACGCCTGTTTCGCCGTTGGTGCCCTTTGACGTTTCCTTAGGTATCTCTACGGTGCCTTCAGACTGAGAGTGGCTTGTCATTTCGGCTAAACTCGTCATGACTTCTTCGTACTCGATCACACCTGATTTATAGGCATGCCATGAATACATAAACAGAAATGTAAAAAAAAAACGTATACAAAAAATCTTCTGGATACTCAATCTTTTTACCTGGCTTCTCAAAACCCGTGTATTTACCCTGAACGAATTGCTCTAATAATTTCTCCACTGTCATATCGACGCATTGTCGTTTGAAATCAATGTGCACTTGTCCGACTTGCTCGTGATTAGTTTGCAAAACATCGGCATATGTATTTAAAAATTCCTTCATGTGCTTCAAATGCGTTTCCTCGACATCTTGAAATCGCTTAATACCAAAAAATTGATTAATATGTCATTAATTATCTATATATTTTGTAAAATTCTAATTTCTAACAATTTAATTCAGAATTAGTACCCTGCAAGCTTGAGTCATTTTTGTCTCAAAATCGTTTCGTATGATAGTATATTTATCCACTAGTGCCTTGTAATCGTCTTGCGCCTTTTTGAATTTAATTTCTGCCTTTTCTAACTCTCTTTGACTGGCATTGTCCTTTTTTAATTTTTCCAATTCAAGACCCTTTTGTAAACACATGTCTTTCGCTTTATGCAATGTCACTGTAATGCTCTGTATACTCTGTACAACTTCTAAAGTAGAAGATTCTTCTTCTTTCACCTAAATGTTTAAATAATATTCGTTATTTTATATTATATAAACTATCCAATATATATATATATATATTTCAAATTGATATAAATTTTATTGATATGCAAATATAATTAGTTATAGATATGCACACTGTGATAAGTACAATATTTCCATATCATTAAACTACAGCTAATTTAATTGCTTGATGATGAGAACCTACTGATTCGACTGTGGGCGGATACTATGATAATGTACAGGATATATATCAAAAATTCTTTATAGTAAAACATAATAATATGTGAGTAAAAGATAATATACCTTATTTTATAAGGTCGAAAACAAATGAGAAATATTGTTTAAATTTGTTTGAACAAGAGGAAAGCTCAATAGAAAATAAATAGAAGGATATTAATTACGTACAGCCTTGTGCTTCTTATGTAGTTCATCTGCGTATTTTGATACATCTTTTATAAGTTCGGTTACCCGCTGGGCCATTTGCAAGTGCAAAACAGCGAGTTTCTCAGCGGCACCTCTCAAAGCAGCCCATACAGGTGCAAATGTTCCTTGCGTGCTATTGCTTGCCTGTTTCGCTACCTTACTAAGGAGCTTATAATTATTCTCCTCTATAGCTGATCTCTCGCGCAAAAATTCAGCCAATTCCTTGCTGGCGATTACACCATGCTTCATATTATGATATAACACGTCGAATCCATTATTCTTTTCGCCCTTGAATAGTAATAAAATAAATTGTTCAATTCGCTTTAAATTAAATCTTAATATATGTTAATAAAAATTAATATTCAATGGAAAAAATGCGCCCCTTGAAGAATTAAAGTGTTAAGATAAAATTCGCTCTCTAAAAGTAAATCTTTTTTCAAGCATGAAAAAAATCATTTAAAATATTACGTATATACCAAGAGGTTTTGTAATCATACGAAAACTTTTTTACAATTAGAATATCACAGCTGAAGATGCTGGAATAATACTTAAGATCATTTAGCCATTTAACATTTGAACTCCGATCGTCCAGTAAACTCATGTTGAGCAGAACTCTCAAGTGACATTGCAATAAGCTGCCATTATATATTATTACTCTTGTCATCCTATTGTACCTATTACTTGCGACGGTTATATCTCAATTCTTACTTTGATTTCATTGAGATAATCTTCCCAGTTTTTTTTTCGAATACTTTATTTGATGTCCCACATTAAATATAAAGTCATCCTCAGAATAGAATCCGGTGCCAAAAAGGGAAGCGACAATTATCTTATCAATAATGTGGCTTTGTGAGAGAACGAATGGCAGATAAATATATATCAATGATTAAAAATAAATTTAAATAGTTCTTTTAAAATAAAAGTCTCTTTATATTATATAAAAAAACATATACAGTTAAATTTACATAGTTTTTTCTTAAACAATGCTTTTTTTGTCATAATAATATAAAAACAAATAAATGTACACTATGTATAAGAAGACAACAAATAATTTCTCTTTGTCTTTTAATTACTATTATTAATATCATCCATATAAAAATATATATTTTATTTTATTATATTTTATTATATTTTATTTTACTATATTTATTTTTATTATATCATCAATATAAAAATATATATTAAATATTTTTATATTTTTATTTTATATATATATATATATATATATTTTTTTTTTATTTTATATTATATATATATATATTTTTTATTTTATATTTTTAAAAGTTTCTATTGAGAGTATAAATTATAACTAAAATATTATTAATAAAATTAAATAATTAGCAATAAATAAGACTTGTTGACACTGCCTAAGATTGCAAAAGATTAATCCTTCAATAGCGAGATAAGAATTTCTCTTGTAAATAATCTGCAGTGTTTATCCGCGGATTTAAAGTTTTTTCTCACACAATTAAATATCTACGTCACCAGAAACGAACGTGAATATTTTTGCAATTAGACACGGCTAATTGTGCAATTATATACGGAGAAAATGACGTAATCGTACAAGTGTTTTTTACTCTCATATATGTATGTATGTATATATATATATATATATATATATATATATATATGTTATTTATACATAAATTTTATTATATCATCAATATAAAAATGTATATATTTTATTACATTTTATTATGTTTTATTGTATTTTATTTTATTATATTTATTTTTTATTATATCATTAATAAATATATATATATATATATATATATATATATATATAAGTATATAGGCCGGCACTTTGTATACGTCAGGCTACATAAAAATACACATGTCAATGTATCTTGAGAAAGTGCGACAGATACTTTTCTTGTTCACACCATGTATAATACATTCTCGGAACATAAAACATGTAAGAATTATATACGAGAGAGATAAATAAGAGAAATAAAGCAATGTCGATCGCGTGTGTGAAAGGAGACGAAAATTAGGAGTGAGACGTCGAAAGCTGCGACGAGTGAGAGAAAACGATGAAAGACAAGTCGAGCAAGGAAATGAGGGAAAGAGACTATATTGACAAGTACATCGTAGGATCGACAAGAGCAATAAAACAATCGCCTTATTATCTGCTTATTTCATACACCCTGCCTCTCAATCAATGTTAATCTTAACTACTACTATTTTATTACACAAATTACATTTTGAGTTTTATTTTATTATCTCGAGCTGTGGAGCCCAACCCATTGAATCATCCTTCGTAATAGACACAATTGTAATTCAATCTTTAATATATTTTATCTTTTTTTTCTCTATAATTAAATAAAAATTAAACAAATTTGTATTAAAATACTTTCAAAAATTAATTTTTTTATATATTTATCTTCAATAATTTTTTAAAGGAACAAATCTAACTTTAATAATGATAAAAAAAATTCAATACCTAAAGTCAATGATCTTGATTAAATTTGTTTTGCGCACATACACACACACACACATACATACGCGCGCGCACACACACATACACACACACGCGCATACACACACATGTTGAAGAAATATAAAAATTTTCCATCTAACTTATGCGCGGGGAGAGGAGACGGGGTGGAAAACGAAGGGAAAATCGTGACGGCAAGGAGAAGAGGTCACCATACATTCTCCTGACATAACCTAAATTCGCTGGCGAGACGCTTCGAGGATGCAACACATTGTCGATTTGGAAGGGAGGGACTCAGGACGAAGCAGGAAGAGAGAAAAAGGCGAGATAATGGCAGAGACACTCACCCAGAAGTAGTCGACGAAGTCCACGGTCATATTGGAACCGCGATCAGACCATCATACTATCACGTTTTCGTTTGCGTATCGCACTCGGCACTCGACGATGCCGATCGCGATGGTACTCGCCACACGGTTGACGATTATACACGCAATGGATTCTCCACCTCGATTCAAACAGCGTTAACGGCGGCGATAACGTTTCGAATGCGAATGTTTTCCTGCCACCCAAGAGTCGCGAGTGGAACAAGCGCGCTACTCGAGCCTCGCGAGCGCGAAGATACGGGTCAACCTTGTGTGTCTCTCGTCGACTATCTTCTCTCTTTCTTTTCCATGTTCCGTTTCTCCTCTTTTCTCTCGCGCGATTGCGCAATCGTATTCGTTTTCGACGACGAACGTGCGACCAATAGGAACGCGGCTTATCGAGCATCGAGTTTCCGAACTCGATAAATCTAACGTCATAGACTTATCAAATTATAGATGTATAAAATACATAGATAGCGCTAGCTACCGATTCGACCGCGAAGCTTCGACAGATAGACGTAAGGGGGAGACATCGAAATATTGTGCGATATTCACGTAGTTTGAAAAGTCCGCCGTGTGTTAACGCTCTCTCAGGAAGTGTGAAGTAATAAGTGTGGTTGATAACAGAAATGCAATTACTCGCGAAGGAAAATTATTACATCGATACATATATGTACGTATGTATATAATGAAATATTAAGATAATAATTTAATATAAATATAAATAAATAGAACAGAAGATATTCCGAAGACATCTTTGGGCGATTGGATATCTTCAAAATGTCCTTTGAAAATCTTTTGAAAATATTGAGATGCCATGTGGGAATATATACTACAAATCTAAGTAATATATAAAGAGAATATGTAGATAATGTAGAAAAAGCTATATGTATTCTTTTGTAGAATTTTTTAAATCTTAATTCTATAAATCTCAATTATTAATGTTTGATAATTGTATTATATCTTTACATCTTTCATATTTTTTATTAAAATTTTTTATTAAATCTTTTTTATTAAAATTTTCCATCAAAAGTCTATAGATTTCATTAAAGAAAAATTAAAGTTAGTTTTTGAGTTTAATATTGAAGAATTTCAGTAATGGGTTTATATTAATATTTTTAACTGAATAAAGAATAACTATTTTTTACATTAGTTTACAATAAGCTCTGTGAGATATATCAATCCTTTAATAGATAATTAATTTACGTTTTAAAATGTTCATATATATATATATATATATATATATATATATATATATATTTATATATATACATGTGTGTGTGTGTGTGTGTGTGTGTAAAATATTTCGGCAATGAATTTTATCGGAATAATACGGTGTGTTCGACCTTGGCTGCGTAAACAATAACGCGCTAGTACGTGCCTTGGCTCTCGGCTTCGTCATCATTTGCGCGGCAACAATCGGACAGAAACGTAATGGCGCGAAATACTCCTACTTAAATTCCTTTTCTAAACGCGATCGCGATCAGTATCGGATAATTATTTGATACGAGAATACAATTAATAGTAAGTAGTAAATTAATTTCTATGATAATTATAATAGTTATAATAATAATAATATAATAATATGTATAATTGTAATAATAACTACTAAAAATAATTAAAATTAATTGTAACAATGATATATATGTTTCGATATTATTACCGATTGATTGGAGATGGAATTCGGCAATATACGAAGCATTTTTTACCACTATTTTATTCTTCGAGTGTCACCATGTGAATACAAAGTATGTAAATGTAAACAATAGCGCGTTGTACACAGCTAAGGCCGAACTTAATGTTATTTTGATAATTCGTTGACCAGATACTTTATACGTACTAGAACATATATCTACACAAAATATTAAAGTATAGATTTTAATTTCTAAGTTAATTAAATGATTATTTATTGTATTATATATATATATATATATATATATATACACATATGTATATATATATATATATATATATATATATATACAGGGTCTACCAAAAGTGTGGAAACCCCTAAATATCTCGGAAAATATACGTTTTACAGAAAAGTGTTTCCAACAAAAGTTGTAGGGTTTAAGAAGATCTATATACTGATTCTATCAGTTTGACCTTGGATGGCGTCGTCAAGGTCAGGTCAAGGTCACATTGACTTTTTTAAATGACACCCCCTACATTTGATTGCATATTCTTATAGCTTAATTCAAGAGCTTTCCAAAACACTATAATAATGTTCATTTTTATTAAGTACTTTGCGAGTTATGAGGGTTGAATGATAGAGTAGCGCCGGTATTAACATTATCCAAGGTGTACTACATGGAGGTTACTCGCTCGGATTTGCATCTGTTGTGTGTGTGATCCAGCTAACTAAGGCAAGATCGGTCGTGGATCCAGTCAGCAAAAGCAAAGACCCAACCAAATTACAATCGAGCATTTAAAGACCTGGAAAGCAATCGACATAGTAAACAGTAAATAAATTTGTGGATGCTCATTTATCATAATAATTGTTCGAAATGTGTGCGTGTGCGTGCGTGCGGTGCGTGTATACAGAGATCAGGTTAGGTTGCACCAAACGATTGCAAATGTGTTTCAATGTGTTAAAGTAAATGCTGAAAGTGGCTGCCATTTACTTCCTGACAATATGCTAATCTTTGGTAGAATGTAGAAATGACTTTACGATTCGTTTCAAAAGGTATCAAAGCCATTTCATCCCTTATTCGCTGTATCAATTCGTGAATGGTTTTAGGTTTTGTTCTGTAAACCTTACTCTTCAGATATCCCCATAGATAATAATCAAGAGGAGTTAGATCTGGTGACCGAGGTGGCCAATCCTCTCCTCCCTCATTTCCGTTCCTTCTTCCTATCCACCGTAGCGGAAAAGTCTCATTTAAAATACGACGTGGTCCTGCACCAAAATGAGCAGGAGCTCCATCATGCTGAAACCATATTACGTTTCATACACGTTTTATGGAGCAATTTTTTGGCAATTTGACTTCAGCGAAATATAAGGATATATTGAGGAATCGATCTTGCCTTAGTTAGCTGGATCACACACACAACAGATGCAAATCCGAGCGAGTAACCTCCATGTAGTACACCTTGGATAATGTTAATACCGGCGCTACTCTATCATTCAACCCTCATAACTCGCAAAGTACTTAATAAAAATGAACATTATTATAGTGTTTTGGAAAGCTCTTGAATTAAGCTATAAGAATATGCAATCAAATGTAGGGGGTGTCATTTAAAAAAGTCAATGTGACCTTGACCTGACCTTGACGACGCCATCCAAGGTCAAACTGATAGAATCAGTATATAGATCTTCTTAAACCCTACAACTTTTGTTGGAAACACTTTTCTGTAAAACGTATATTTTCCGAGATATTTAGGGGTTTCCACACTTTTGGTAGACCCTGTATATATATCATGTTATAGTACGTAAAATATTTAGTCAACCAGTTATCATCATATTCGGCCTTGGTGTACAGCACGCTATTGTTTACATTTATATGCTTTGTTATCATTCACACGGTGACTCTCGAAAAATAAAGTAGTGGTGAAAAATACTTCGTATATTGCTGAATTCCACATCTTCAATCAATCGGTATTCCCAGATAGAACATGAAACTCATAATGACATCATTATAAGGTTACCATGATTTTATTTATCACTTAAAAGTTACCTAAATAAAAATAATTAAAAAATTAGTTAAAGATGACAAAAAGAATCATAAATTTTTAAGTTCAATAATCACATTATATAATTTTAAAAAGATTATGTTGCTTAAATATAATTAAAATATACATGAATAGTTAAATAAACAAGTAATTGCGTAATATATATAAAAAATGATATTAATAAGTCATCAAAACATTGCCAAAAGTATAATCAAATGAGATCATTATGATTTTTCTAAAATGACTTTTAGGTGACATCATAATGATGTCATTATGAGTTTCATGTTCTACGTGGGTTAGTATCGAAACGTAATTCGCTATTATTACAATTTATTAAATTTTTAATAAACGATATGAAACTGTATTGTAATGATAAATCTCTATCAAAATGCAATCCATATTATTGCGAATAAAAATCAAAACGACAAGGATAAACATTATAAATTTCATTGCAATTTTCTTCGATTATTGATTCTTAATAATTATTATAATTATTAATAATGCATACTAACTTTAAATATATAATAATTAACAATGCTTACTAACATTAATTAAGAATATTAATTATTAACAGTGCTTAGAGTTAAACATTTCATCCGATTTTTTAAATTTTGCATGAAAGGTGATAAATTAATTATTAATTAAACGATTGTTATATCTCGACTTTTTATTATTGTAATCTTTTAAATATTCCAATTCATATATACATATATATATATATATATATATATATATATATCAACAATAAAAATAACAATAATGATATAATAATTAATTTTTTATTCTAGCCTCGTAAACGTCAAGCAAATCGTAATTTTCGTGCTTTTTAAGATGTAATAAAGTATAAATCTCGTGTGATTGTTCCGCGATCGGGAGTGCCGTGCAAGTGTTCCACGTATTCGATTAATCGTAATAAATCGAGTTTTCGCGAGTGAGTAAATGCCACGAAGAAACAACGATGGATGTACAAGAGAGGAAAAGGAAATTTGAAAAATCGGGCAACGTCCGCAGCACATACATACATACGGTAAATAACTTGTGTAAATTATTTATCATATTTATTTTAATTTCAAAATAAATATAATGTTCGTTCTTTTTTTATTTTTTCTATATATTTTTTATTTTCTTTAATGGATCATTTAAAACTATCGCATAATATAATGTATATATAACGTATATCACATAACGTAACATACATTCTTAATATTTTTAATAATAATTATTTAGATATATTACATATGGAAATTAGAATTTTTTTATTTACCATATTTTTCAAAAGTTTATATCAAAATTTATAATAAATTCGTTACAATAATTTTTATAAATATTAATTATATTTTGAACATTGCTATAATTTGGATTTATATTTGTATGTTACAGACAACATAACAACAACTTCAGTACCAACAACTCCGCTGTTGCGCATCATGTCGGTGAGTAACGAATTTTTATTTAATTTTAAGGTAATAGATTTATAGAAATTATAAATTATAGATAAATCTGTTACCTTTTAAAATGGATGGGTTAGAACAAATTAAATCACATAATTTTTGACAGATTATTTCAACATGCATTAAAGTATATTACATTTGCAAATTAAAACATAAATTTAAAAACTATAGAAAATATTTCAATTTTTTATTAATTCATCATTCTAATTAATTATTTATTTATTTTATATGATAAAAAATGTGTTAGTAATTTTATTATATACTTTTATTATATATTATACAATATAATAAAATAATATAATATAATATATTATATTTTGTTATATTATATAATATATTATAATATAATATATTATATAATATAACAAAATATAATAATTTATTCTTATAACGTATATGCTTATGTTATTTTAATTTTTTGTAGTCCATCTGTATATATAGTGTAATACTCACTAATGTAATAATCAGAAGACTTTGTTTTGACTGATATAAATTTAAATTATCAATTAAATACATAATGTTTAAAGAGATAAGTGGATGAGAAAAAAGTATAGTATATAGAAAAATATGTATAATTAGATGTCTAATTAATTTTATTTTATTATAATTTTATTATCAATAATATTATATATTATAAAAATTGCAATAAACCACACACATAATTTTTATTGATGATTTGGCATTATATTAGTTAAAGCAAAGTTATATTAAGATAGAATACAGATAGAAAATGGTCGTTATGACGTCGTAAACGAGCATAAAATTATGCTCAAGCATTGGTGAAAATAAGTAGCCGATAATGGAAGGAAATTTTTCTCCTTCATTAACTTTGATAGAAATCGAACTATTTTATCTTTGATAAAAAATTGTCAGATTAAAAGTGATTAAAGTCAACGGTAAATCCAATCGATATCACATACACATAAGAATAGTTTTAAACAAAATAGATGATCAATATTAAACAAGAGACGAAAATGATACTTATGAATGGAAAATATATAAGCATTTCCACTATAATATAATGGCACGTAATTTACACAAAACAAACGAATACGCGTAAACTAAATAATAACATGTAAAAATTAAGCAGAGACACTAAAATTAGTCAGGAATAGATAAATACTAATGCATCAATGAATAAAATACTAATTAGAACATTTTCTTCAAGCCTTGTAGTAAGCTTTGAGTAATTGCAAATTTTTGCTAATTTAATCAGCAAATAAGGCAGCTAGAGCTGTTAGGATTGCTATAGTATTTTATGTAATAAAAGATTATGACTATTATATAATATACTATATGGTTCCTTAGGATATTAAAATTTATTTATTATTTTTGAAATCGCAAAAGTTTATTAGGAATAGAAGTATAGCTAATACATATAGAAAATAATCATTTAGTTGGAATATGAATGGTATATAATAAATTCTATATATAATTTTATAAGAAATTTGCCAATGTTAAATTATCAGTCTCTAAAAAAAATATAGAACTATTCAAAATTAATAATGCAAAAAATAAAGAAAAAAATTCTGAATTCTAGAATATACATATGTGTGTGTCTTATAATAAAATAAACATGGAAAGGAATTTTATTTAAATTTTTCTTAGTTCTTAATGGGTTTTATGATCTTGATTTAAGAAAAATAAACATAATATTATTATTAAATTGATAATAAATGGTAAAATAAAATAGATTGAATAAAATCAATTTAATATTGCATTATTAATTAAAATTCTCTTTAAATTCATGTAACTGTTAAGTTACCAATTATGTATAAGATTGTTGATAATAATTGCGAGAACGCTCAGTGAAACAATTAAATCGCAGAATTGAATCATTAACTATATTACATTATACAATATTATTAAATCGATTGAGGTATTAAGAAGTAGCGCCAGTGATATTATTGCTTTTGGAATGAGACGATCGCATCCATGTTGCCTTTATTAAATCAGCACCTTTTTCACCGATCATGATAACGGGTGCATTTATATTGCCGCTAGTAATAGCTGGCATGACTGACGCGTCAATGACCCGGAGACCCTCGATTCCATAAACTTTGAGCTCTGGATTCACGACTGCCATGGGATCATTAGGCGGGCCCATCTTAGCACTGCAACTCAAATGATATATGGACAAAGTGTAAATCCGCAGAATGCATGTCCAATATTCGTCAGTATAAAGTGAAAAGTTCTCGCAACCGGGTATTAGTTTGCTATGAAATCTAGAACCAAATTTCTTCATACTTCTCGTTTCACCGAAGGCGATTGCCGCCTTGACACCTTCACGAAGTACTGCCACATCTTCCGGATGAGTTAGATAATTATGGTAGAGTAGCGGATAATCCAAGGGGTTTTTGGATTTCAATCTGATGTAGCCACTCGACTTAGGCCTGAGTATCATTGGAAACACTCCAAAGACATCGTGATTGTTGATTTTACCGAATACTTGATTGTAAAATTCGTCAGTTAAACCATGAGCTTCCTTCGCGTGACTGCCAGCAGAGCTGATTCCCGAGGACGTTAGCATAAACTCGATATCGGGCCAATCGTCGGTTTGATTGGCATATTTGGTAGAAATAAAGCCGACCGCCTCGAGACCGATGCTGGATGTTAATGGGCCATCCTCGGTGATAGCATATTTTAGTGCCGATTTGATAGTTATCATTCGTGGCATTACAATGCCAACTTCATAATCAATTGGAAAAACGAGTCCGCCGACTGCTATGTGATCTTGCAGATTCTGTCCGACTCCGGGCAAGTCTTGAATCACAGGAATTCCCAGTTGTTCTAGATGCATACGCGGTCCTATTCCCGAAAGCATTAATAATTGTGGACTATTAATAGCGCCGGCGGAGAGAATCACCTCCTTCTTGGCAAACACCATTTTTTTACGACCATTTCTGATAAATTCTACCCCATATACTTTTTTATTTTTCGGATCTATCAGCACCCGGGTCACGTGGCTCCATGTAGAGAGATGAAAATTCTTTCTTAATTGAATAGGTCGTATGAATGCTTTAGCAGTGCTACACCTAGTACCTCGTCGCATTGTAAACTGCAACAACGAAAACCCGGTTTGCTGTTCACCATTGATATCACGAATATCGTAACCCATTTCTTCACCAGCCTGAAGAAATGCTATGCCCAATGGACTGACATAAGGGCACTCTTGTACGGTTAAGTATCCTCCTAGGAAATCCAATGTGATAAAAACAAAATAATAAGAAATATTTATAACGTTTCATTCAGTATGTACAATAATTGAAACATTAATATAAACCTGTGCTATGATATTTTGTGTTGCGTGCTAAATATGGATTTCTTTGATCCTGTGATTTTTTGAAATATGGAAGTACATCATCATATCCCCAACCGGGATTGCCGAAACTTTCCCATTGATCAAAATCACGTCGATTGCCGCGAATGTACAACATCGTATTTAAAACGCTAGATCCTCCAAGAACCTAAGTTAATTGATGAAGTTAATTAATAAAGTTAATAATTAATTGACTGTAAAGATGCGCAAAATAAATCAATATAATCATAAATAAAAATAAAAACAGTGTAATTACAACGTAAATGCATTAATCTAATTTTCGATAATTTTCTTTGGTGTATAAAATGTATAATGTTTTCTTCATTTTATTAGATATATAAATTAATTTATTCTTTTAAACAAAAATTTATTAATAGCAGGAATAGATAATTTTAATTATCGAAGTATTAATTGACTTTATGCCATTTTTTTGACAGTTGCCTAATATTTCAACGCGATAAAAGCTTGATTTTAAATCGATAAAGTCATGAATGCATTTTTGAACAGTATCATTGTTTAAAATATTTATCAGTCAAATCATGTTACAGTGAACAAAATATTTGAAAATCTAAAGCGGTTAAGTGTGTAAATATATAAATATTGATTTTTCAATAATTTTAATATTTTTATATACTGCTCTTGGTTCTCTCTCACGCATTTTAATTTGATGATTCCGTACTTTGCCTCTGGTCCAGCAGCATCGGTGATCGACCATAGCTTGACACGCCATGTCTTGCGGTTGAGGACGGTATTGCCAGTCCATTTTAGTTTTATGCAAGTATAGAGACAATATTGGCACGTCAGTTATCTCATTCTCGTGGCCTCCGGCCTCTAATAACAGCACATTCCATTCGGGATTTTCGGTCAATCTGTTAACGACCACATTACCAGCGGATCCGCCGCCTATTACAATGAAGTCGTAACTTTTCTTCAATTCTCTCGTTACACGTGGATGATTCTCCGGATTTATAAGATCATAATTGAAGTACGCGAGCGCGGTAATCAATGCTGGAATTATAGTAATCTTGCCAATGCCAAAGAGCAAGGTGGCAGTTTTTATAGCAGCAGTTTTTATAGCGATTATTGTCGCGATTCCCATCTTTCACTGCACTGTTGGCGTGTGCTTAATTCTTTTATTCCTGTTCGTATATTTTTTAAACAATTAAGTTCGTGAATATTCTTTGTCTCCTCATTCACTGACAGATTTTTGTGATTGCACTTTTAAAAGTAGAATGTGTCTTCGATGTCTCAGATAAAAAAACGTTTTTGTTATACTATATTTCGCGTTATTTCATTATTAAATTATTATTATATTTGTTTAGTACACTTATATTTTATATTGTTCGTTACAATTACACGACTACTTACTTGCGAGAAAATGTAGAACAATGTAAACAATGCAGATTACCACAAGTCACCGTCGTCTATTCGAGGTATTGTCAAGTTCAATAGGTTTTTGGAATATTTCTTTCTCAATATTTATTTTAATTATTAGAATATCTAAATATAATATATATAATTAATAATTAATTTTTAGGTAAAATCAGTTTGAACTATTCACTTCTGGAGTGATACGTTGAAATACATTTGTGATTATATTATTATATCTTCAGAACTTATTGATTGATGAGTAGAAACAATTCAATTTCATAACGAACATTAAATAAAAGATATATTACGAAAAATCAAAATATTCTCTAAATTATCCACTTTTCAAAATATTTTACTTTAATATTTTTATATTTTAATGTTTTTATATGTAGAATAATAGGGAAAATTGATATATTAAAGAAAGATAGATAATTTTATTTAAAAAATTGGTTTGCGAGGAGATATAATATGTTCAATTAATTGACTCAAATAATTCAAAGAAAAAAAATCATAATTTTTCGAATGTTAAAAATATATTATATTTCGAATGTTTAAAATATATTATAATAAATAAATAATACATATATATATATATATATATATATACATATATATATATATATATATATATAGCAAAACTATATAAAAAAGAGATAAACTGATAGTCTTATAATTATATATTATTTTGTGATATCAATTTACAAGCAATATATGACTTATGTAGTATTGGATTTTATAACTTATTAACAAAGGTAATAATGGAAAGTGAAATCGTCATTCTTCATTTAAAAATGATTTATCTTGCGAAAAAGAAATTCTGTGACCGCAATATGAAATGACATTTCACTTCAATGACATTTCACTTCAATGTAATTATTTTATCGGAAGAAGAGTTTCCAATGAAATTAGTTGGGAAATGTATTGCATAAAATGGATTTTTAAAAATGTTGTATATATTATGTTAAAAGCCCGATTGTACTATGTTACATTAAAAATATTCTGCATAATCAGATAATATATATGCATAAAAAAATTAACCACTGATTTAATATAAAAAATGCTATATCATTACATTCTTCATATTAGAATTATTGCGTGATTGGTTGATCTTTCTCTTCATATGCATATGCAAATGCATGATCGGTTAATTTTTCTCTGTATATGCAAATTTATTTATCTCGCGAAAAATACCTAGGAATTAGTTAATTAGGAGTAGTTATTATTTTATTTTGGTTTTTTTGCAGAAGTGAAATTAGATTAGAGATTCGCTTTTTTAATTGTAAGTAATCTCTATAAAAATATTACATGAAGTGTAAAAGTGTAACATTACATTGACATATATATAATTTTCTACATCAAGAATTGGACATAATGGAAACAGAAAGAAAAATCACGAGTACTATTCAAGTAGTAACGAAAACGAGGAACATTGAAATACATCTATTTTATATATAAATATTGAATTACAAAGTATATTATTATGTTAGTAATTATCGAATAAGATAATGAAATGTTACTTAAAATTTCTACTTGTTAAATCTTAATGTAGCTAAAATTTAAACTAATTTATAAGCAGTTTATCATGTGAATCTGTTTTTTGCAAGATATGTAATAAATAAGTTTCTTCGTATATCATTATTTGCTATTATTTGATGCTATGGATTTTTAAAGTATAATAAAAAGTTTTCTCTTTTTTATATGCTGCAATAATGTAGGCATAACTCACTTTATATTTGACAGAAGTTAAAAATAAATTTTATGATAATTAAATAAACTTTATGAAATAAACTTTAAAATAAACTTTATGATGATCATAATTTACAATTATTTTTTAGTTCACAAAATGGAAAAATAGTTTTCGGTATATTTTATCAATCTGTATTATCGAATGTGTATCATAGGATACAAAAAAACTAATTTATTTCAATGTATGTCGCAAGAAAATTTGTTTGATTTTCTTACAATGGTTCAATATTTCATCAGCGAGAGAGAACCTTAATTATGATTTCTGATTGGTTCGATTGAAATTACGTGTGATCCAATAAATTTCAAATAATATTTCATTATTTACTTATACACAATTTATGAAAGCACAGCAAATAACAGCAAATTAAACAATAGAAGTTGATTGATTTTTGTTTTGCAATAAAAGAAACTAATCGACTATAAAGAAAAACTTGACGAAAGCTTTATAAAAAAGTAGAACTTGACATCACCTGTTATCGGTAAATATTTAGTGTCAGAATACTGTTACACGCGATTGAGAAGTTCGTTGTGTCAAAGAAAGTGAAAGACTGAAACATCCGAGACATTATGTTGAATATAAATCATGCGGTACCACCACTTTACCATATTATTTTCTCGCATTCTTGTTCCTTGAAAATTTATGATAAAAATAAAATAGCTTTTGCAATTGATGCTGATTACATATTTAACAATAGTAACACTAGTGATAATTTTATGAAAAGCAATTAATAAAATCCAAAATTATTAATACAGAAATGTTCAGTATTTTATAAAGATGATCTTATATCCAATGAAATGTCATTTTTAATGAACATGATATTGTTAATAAAAAAATACGACAAGAAATATAATATAAATTGTCTTAGATATTAAATTTCCTGTGTCCATTATAATTTTGTAGCAGAATATGTTAATGTACTGAAGTATTATATATATATATAAACAAAAATATCGACTTCTTTTATTATGCGCCACTTATACATATTTTACACTTATATATATTTTTTACACTTATATATTGTGACTACATAAAAATGGCTATCCTTGCATCATCATTAGCATCACAGTTAACGGTCTAGTATAATATACATATAGAATCTGTGATTGTGTGCAACTTTATTAGCAATGCCAAAAAAATGATGTAATTATGTCACAGGCAGATGCAGAATATATCAGGTAAGAAATATATATAAACAGCGTGTAATTTCTTATTTTTATATATATACTATATGTACAATATATATATATATATATATATATATATATATATATATATATACTTGAAATTAGTTTTATCTTTACATTTATATTTCATAGAATTGTCATTATCGTTACTACTATTAAATATGCAATCATCAAGTGTCAATTGCAAAATTTATTTGATATCTTTTCTTGTATTTGTAAAATGTTTAAGATTATTATAAAAAATTAATTTATATGTGTTATAATATATATCATTGTGATAGGGCGAAAATATTACTTAATATTTTATTTGTACTGTATACGTTCATTATTACATCTTATCAAGAGATACGGGATATCGAATTCTACAACACCCGGTATAACATTTTGCCCACGTAGAAATGGCTGCCTTTGCATCATATTTCACCATATGAGATTATTGAACTCTATATTGGAGCGAGTATATATTCTCTTTCTCTCTCCCTAAGTATCCTAAATAAAAGTATAGGGATGACTCCGATTTAAAAAAAAAGGAAGCAAATAACATATAAGTCTATCTGTTTCGTTTTAATCTGTACTATCATTTATTAAAAACATTTGCATCAATCAACTTTAATGTTATTGAGGCTACGTAGCACAATTAGTACTATTAGCGGTAATTAATTATTATTTACAAGAATACAAATAAACTATTGTTGTATCGTTCATAGATTTTTCTCGAAGCTATTTCTCAAAGTTTTTCGTTTGCCCAATCGGGACAAAAAGGGTAAAAATTTCTTTATTCTGATTGGGTAGGACAATGCTTTGAAGCATCTCTAGCGTTTTCCCGATCTCAGCTTAACGCGCGCACACAGAAGTACACGTGTATCCGTGCGCAGCCTGTGTTAAGTGAAATAGGAAAGTTTGGATCGTTATCAATCGTCTTTTTCTTTTATCACTGGACTATTAAATCTATTCTCATTGATTGTCATTGGCATCTGCGGACTATTGGTATAATAATCGGTTTATAATAATTGATATAATAATTGGCGATAGAATAGCTAAAATAGGCTGGAACTGGGTGAAAGATGCCTGCGAACAAATCGAATTTATCAACACCCCGTAAGGAAAAGTCCGGAAATGGGTTGATTGCCGCTACTGCCGCCCTTACCTCCAAGAAAAAGAAGCGTCCCGCCTGCATTAAGCATAAAAAACATTGCAAGCAATACCTGGTGAGTGTAAGCAACGAGTTAAATCCATTGTGACGCGAACGGCCATGTTGACGAAAGGAGACGTACGCCCCGACTACAAGACGGGTTTTGATTTATAAAGTCAATTTATAGACACCAGCGATCTGTATATTTCGATTGATCGTTCCGAGAATGGAAGATCCATTCCTTTAAAATATACAGTATTTCGCGTAACTATTTTCTGTTACAGTACACAAAGTAAATACGTCAATTTTTCCAATAAAATGCCAAAGGTTAGGGACTGCTTAGGAGAATATCAAGTGTTATTGACCCCAAACGTTGTCACTTTGAAGTAATAACTACATAGGGGGAAACATATGTGTTATTTTATATACTTGCACATTTTTCCTTTTTTTCTCTATCTAAATGTAGAAATATAATTCTCTCTATGAAAATCTAAATATAGAAATTATATTTTAAATATGGAAAAGAAAAAGCAGAGAAAGAGAAAGAGAGAGAAAAATTAAAGAATTCAGCATTCTGAAAATGCAAAAATGTGTGAATTTTTTTCCTTTGTTATACTTTATACATTTTATTCTTCAATTTTGTCCAAAGTGTGAATATGACTTAT